GGGAGAGAGGCAAACCATGAGAGATTCTTGAATGCTGACAAAAACTGAGGACTGATGGATGTGGGGGGGGGCAGGGGGGATGGGCACGGAGAGGGGCACTTGTGGGGATGAGCACTGGGTGTTATATGGAAACCAGTATAACAATAAACTATTTGTAAAAAAAAAAAAAAAAGACTACATGTGAACCAATTAGTATGTCTGTGTTCCAATAAAACTTTATTGACAGGAACAGGGGGTGACCACATTTGGCCCCAAAGCTATGGTTTGCAAATTCCTGTCCTAATCCCATTTCAATTCACACATGCTTTTTCATTCCTGCCTTACTGGCTATTCTAAATCTCACCAGTCCTTTTACCACCTTTATACCAGTCGCCCACAGTCTGGGCAGGTGACCTCCGACAATAAGACACAGAGGCCATGACATACAATGTGCGGCACATGAAGGCTTAATACACCTTAATTGTTAAAAACGACCACACCCGTCCCTCACATTTGACACAACCTTTCCCCTCCTTCCTTACAAAGGCGCCGGGGGTAAGGTGAGTGTCTTTCTTTCTTTTTTTTTTTTATGTTTTATTTATTTCTAGGAGAGAGAGAGAGAGACAGCGCGAGCAGGGGAGGGTCAGAGAGAGGGGGAGTCACAGACTGAAACAGGCTCCAGGCTCCGAGCTGGCAGTCAGCACAGAGCCCGACGTGGGGCTCAAACTCACGAACCCCGAGATCATGACCTAAGCGAAAGTCGGACGCCCAACCGACTAAGCCACCCAGGCGCCCCGTTGAGTGTCTTTCTGTTCTGGATTCTAGTCCACCCACTTGCCCCTGACCGTGCTCCATCTCAGGCTAGACCCCCTCTGCCTTACCTGTTCTTGTCTCCCATCTCCCACCTGGTTTCCTTCCTGGGAACAGCCCCTGGCGAGCTCCTGCCCCAGGTCCACCCCCTCCACATCAATCCTCCACATTCCCCTACACAATAATTTTTCTAAAACACATTCAAAAAGCCACTTACCCAACTTAAAACCTTTAGTGACTTGTATTCTCTTCAAACTAAAACCCCCAACTTCTTAGCCTGGCACACATAGCCCTTCATCATCTGTCCTGGCATAATTTTCCAGTGCTTTCTTCTATGATTTCTTCATGCACACTTTCCACTCCTGCTTCACTAAGCTGCTTTTGATTCACTTATTGAATACTGGGTCCCTACTGTGTGCAAGGCACTGTGGTCGGTGCGGGGGGTTCGCTGATAACCAGGCAGACGTGGTCCCTTCCCTCAGGAAGGTACCGTTCCACTTGGGAAGTGGGGGAGACGTCAAACAACGTCATGCATATGTAATTATATTTAGAATGATGGTATGTGCTAGAAGGATAATTATGGGTACTAAGACAACATATAGTGGGAGGGGGGGGATCTAAAATAATCGAGGGGGTCAGGAAATCCTGTGGAAGCGATGTTTGAGCTGGGCCCTGAAGGAGGAGTGCACTGGGGAAGGGGTGAGTCAGAAGCGCTCTGGTCCAAAGGAACAACGGTACAAAGCAGGTGAAGCGATTTGGTTTACTAGACAAACAACGGAAAGGTCACCAGGCTACAGGGAGAGGCAGAAGCGAGACCGCACAGGGCAGTGGAAGGCTAGTGACCTTCAGAAACAGGGCGACAGTCTTGAGTCCTGGCTCAGTTGGTCAAGCATCCGACTTGGGCTCAGCATGATTTCACGGTTCGTGGGTTCGAGGCCCGCGTGGGGCTCTGTGCTGACAGCTCAGAGCCTGGAGCCTGCTTTGGGTTCTGTGTCTCCCTTGCTCTTTGCCCCTCCCCCACTTGTCTCTCTCTCTCTCTCTCTCTCTCTCAAAAGTAAACATAAAAAAAAACAACAACAAACCATTGACACTGGAGTAATAATAGCACACTTGTCTATGGCCCTGGACGGATACCAGATCCTACCCTGAGCACGTCATATTTGTGGATTCATGGACCCCCTCGGGCAGCTCCATCCTGTAGATGAAGACACCGCCGTGCAGAGGCCACACAACCAGCGCCTGGGCTGAGATCACAAACCCAGGCAGTGTGATTCCAGAAACCTGAGTCGCTGACAACCACGCGGTCCAGCCCTTCTTGTGCTCCGTTGTAAGATATGTTACATCTCCAGGTTTTGAAACCCCAAATACAGTATCAGGAGTTTACTTTAAATAGTCACATGCATTTTAAAAGGGAGAATAAAAATAAAATATATAACATTTTATATTTACCCACGTATTTTAGGATTGTCCCACAGAATGTCCCAGCTCCTCTTTAGGTACCTCCGGCCACGAAACCGAACAGTGCCCTCAGGGCCTTAGTTTTGGCTACTGTATTTTTCAGCTCTTTATAATGCCAGTATCTAGCTTATCTGTGGTTCTGTTTCTGTTGTCTGGTTTTCTCCTGTATTTTATTTTATTTATTTATTTTTTAATAGTTTCTTTTTGAGACAGAGAGAGACAGAGCACGAGTGGAGGAGGGGCAGAGGGAGAGGGAGACACAGAATCTGAAACAGGCTCCAGGCTCTGAGCTGG